CAACGTGGCCGCGCCGTCGCCCCCGGGGCAGAAGGCCCCCCGTCGGAAGCGGCGAGCTGGAGGCTGGCTGCTCACCTGACGCCGACGCCACAGGTCGAGACTCCCAGGCAGGCCGCGGCAGGGAGCCCCGCGCGCCCGACCACGTCCAGGCCGCGGCCAGCAGCACGGGCCCAGAGCACGCCGAGCTGACGACCGCCCAGCCCCCGCCGCACGAGCGGGCCGCGGAGGGCAGCGCCACGGCCGGGGCAGCGACAGATGGGCCCGACCCCAGCGACCGCCACCCCAGCAGCACGGCGACAGCACGGGCCGCAACAACCGAACCTGGAGACGGACGAGCACGGAAGTCCCCCAGGACAGCCGAGCGAGGGTACAGTCGCCAACCCCAACACGCGTGGACTGAGCACGCCAAACGCCGGGCCAACTGCCAAGGGGGAGGAGCTTCCTCCTCAACCCCGCCGGCCCGTCTCGCGCTGGCCCAGAGGCACGCGAATGGCGCAGGGCTCCGTGGGCTGGTCTAGGCAACAATCGGGACGTTGACCTCAGGAACCCGAAATACGGAACGAGGCCCCGTGTTTCCAGAAGTTAAACTTCGAATTCCGGATGAAAGCCTCAGGAACACCTAAGACGAACTGCAAAACAACTGAAGAACACGGAGCCCCTCCCAAACGAAACGGGTTCCTTCTTCAGCGCCCCGACTGTATGCCCGCCACGACGACCCCACCGACGCGCTATAATTTCGGCCCCGACGGATGATCACCTGGCACCAGGCGTGGAATCACAAAACCAACACCCGCGAAACCTGACCAGGAGTCGTCAACAGGCTAAAGCGGGATTGCGGCGCGTTCTTCGTCGAAGGATGGAACGCCCTCTGCGACGCCAGGGACCACCGGGCACCAGAGAGAGGGACCTACATCCCCGAGGGGCACGACGCCTTCTGCGATGAGCTCGCGAACGACCCGGACCACGAATACGTCGACATCCGCAGGGTCTGCAGAATGCGGGGTGTCCATATGGACTGGGGGGCCGTCTGGGAACGCCAGCTGCAACGCAACGAACAGCACCGAGACAAAGGCCGGGGCAGAGGAAAGGGCCACGACCCGGTCGAGGAGGCAAGAGACACTCCGATCCCACCTGGCCCAACAACCTGCAGTCGAGGCCACGCCGTCCTGGCCCGTCAGGCCTGCCTGGCCTCAAAGGCCTCGGCACCGCGGCCACCTCAGGCAACAGCCAATACTGCTTGCCCACCACTGGTCTCCCCAAGCTGCTTCCCCAGAACACCAGGTTCACTAGCCAGGGATCCAACCTGGCCGCCTCCCTGCTCAGCTCAGACGTCCCTCCCTAGGCCAGTACGTGGCCTGCAGCTTCATTCTTCGCGGCCCCTCCGCACCCAAGCTGCAATGTATTTGCGCACGCTGACCCGCAGCGCACCGTCCACCCAGACAGCGCGGGGCTCTCAGTCGCGTCAGTCGCAGCCCGCCTCACCGCCCACCTCACCATCCTGACGTCCATAGACACAGGAGGAGGAGGAGGAGGAGGAGGAGGAGGAAGGAGGAAGAGTAGTAGGAGGAGGAGGAGGAGGAGGAAGAGGAGGAGGAGGCGGAGGAGGAGGTGCGAGGAGCGAGGAGGAGCCAGAAGCGAGGTGCCGTCCACCCCGACGGCGCATGGTGCATACCCTTTCAGCTGAGACCTTTCGCACAGGGCTTTGCACCGGTGGGGTGCCCACTTGATCGGGCGCCACCCTGGCAGCGCGTGGCCCCACGGCTCACGCCGCAAGCTTGGTGCAGGCAGTGCGCCCGCTCGGCCGCCCCCTGCTGGTCCGCCGCAGTTTGGGCGCCCGCCACCCAGCTATGCCCACGTAAGGCCGCGGGCCGGATCGTAGGCGACCACGGCTGTCCAGTGCCCGGGCCGCCCGCCTCCAGCTCCCGCTGGCGCCAGGCGCCCCGGCTGCCGCTCCGCCTGCGGGTACCTCCCTGCAGGCGGAGCGCTCCTCCTCTCTGCCCTCCCCCTCCCCGTCTCCTTTGCCTCGTGCCCCCCTCCCTCCGCGCGCCGCCATGGCGCTCGCGCTGCTGCTGCAGCCGGCAGCTCCCCCCGTGTGGCAGTGCTCCTGGGCCTGGTCTTGCCGCCCACACCCACCTCACGGGCCCGGCATTCTGATGGCGGCAATCTGAAACCTAGGTTGCCTGTGGACTAGCCGTACCCTGTCAACTCAGCCGCCCACCTAAGCGGCCTCACGGCGCTTCTCCTGACGTGCAAGTACCCAGTCCTGCTTCACCGACGGCGTCACTGCGGTGTTTGCCTTCACGTGCTGGGCCCCGTCATCGCCTGTGGGTGCCCCGGCGCTGCGGCCCCGCTGCTGCCATGGTTCCCGCTGACGGGGCCGTCCGCTCCAGCACGCTCGGGTCGGGAGTCTTCCGCCTCCGCGTGGCCCCTCCTCCTCCCCCTCCGCGGCCGCCCTCTCCGTCATTTCCCCTCTCCTGCGCGCTGGCCAATTCGCTTCTCGGTGCCCTAGTTTAGCTCTGTCGCTGGTGCAGCCATTCTGCCTCGCCGCCGACGGGACAAACCACAAGTCCGTGAAGTTTGGCAAGTTTTTCCTCGGAGGCGTCCCGGGGAGTCTCTGCTGGAACTGCCTGTGGCGTCTCGCCAGGGGCCTCGAGGCGAACTTGAGCCGTCTGAGACCCCTGGAGGCCGTCCTGGGCCGCCCGGGCGGCTGTCTGATGGCTCTGTGGGGCGACTGTAGACCCCGACATGCAGGCCCGGCCCCCGGCACACGCACATTTGCGATCCAGGTTCCGGCCTGGGCCCCCCCGGCCCCAGGGAGCCGAGTGGATACTCAAACAGGAAGGCCAAAACTGGAAGGAGAAGCCACTCACATAAGCCCCCTTTTACGGGGTCGGCGGCAAAGGTGGCAGCCCTTGACAATGAGTGGCGCAGCTGTCAGCCACCGACCTCCGCATGCCTAGGCGTGTGGTCTGTCTCGCTGCTCCCCTCGCTATGCGCCCCTGCCCAGGAGGTCCAGAGTTGTCAGCTGAATCGGCGGCTAGGGCAGAAAAATCGCAACACATCCTCTTGGGTAGCGGGGTGGCATAAGCCTTCGAGCAAGACCGCTGGGCAGGGCTCACCTCACTACGCCGCAAAAGCAACCGCGCGGCAACCAGGATCGATCCATCATATTATGGAACTCCGTGTCGCCAGGCGCGCTCCCATTCTCCAGGTCCCTGAGGCCGCGAATGCAGAGGTACTGGAATGTCATCTTCTCGATCCTCCACTGGCCGATGTCAATGATGGCGGCGAGTTTGTTTATCAAAGTGGGCGTTTGCGCGGGGTCGGAGTTTCCAAACGCTACGACTGGGCTGAAATAGAAGAAGAAGAAGAAGAACATTAAGAGCCACAATATTGCATAATCCTTAAGACGGCCCAAGAGGACTGGCCGTGAGACATAATCTGTGTGTACCCAGAGGGATCACGTTGCCATCAGGACTGCGGACAAAATCAAAAAATGGCCAACTGCCTCACAACTGCGACGAGTGGCACTCATCTTTGCGACCTTCGCAGACTCGTCGACGTCGGTACACGGCACTGTAAAAAGCATAAACAGGGCGTACCACCAAACCATCCCTGGCATCGTCGTGAACAGCAAGCTGCAAAGAGCTTTACTCTGGGACCCCCCCGTGATAGCCCCCGCCGCATCTGCGAGCTGCGTGGCCGTCTGCATGACAAACCAGGCGTCGCACAGCGTGCTGATCTCCATCATCAGCCTCTCCTTCCAATCCAGCGGGTGGCCAAGGTCGAACATGAAGATGCCGCGATTGGCAGAATAGTACTTGAGGTCCTCGCGCCGGGTAGAATAGAGGAATCAACAACGGCATGAACATAAACATTCGGAAGTTCGCGAAGGTCTTGATCTGCGCTGGACCCCTCTCCCTGGCGTGCGGGGCTCGCCAAAGGTGGCGCCAGAGGCTTCGCCAAGGGGGGGCCACAACGCAGATCCGAGAAATCCGCGAGGGTCCGACAGTTTTTGTTCATGAGCTGTTCTCTGTTTCGATCGATAAGAGAGCGTTTATGTTCGGCGATGACGAGCGTCATGGGAGTGGGGCGAGGGGGGGGTATGACGTCACGCCCCCCCCGCCGAGTGGCTCCGGCACCGCAGCCGCGCCCGCGCGCGCGACGCGACGAGCGACGAGCGACGACGACGACGACGACGACGACGACGACGACGCGAGCAGCACGTAGGTGGCAATACGCCCCACTGCGCCTGTGTACGCCGCAACGCTCGCGTGCAACACAGCGCGCGCGCGTGTATACCACAACGCCTGCGTACACCGCAACAACCGTGTGCAACGCAGCGCCTGTGTACACCACAGTGCTTGCGTACACTACAGCGCTGGTGTGCATGTGTACACCGCAACTACCATGTGCAACACAGCGCCCGTGTACACCACAGTGCTTGCGTGCACCGCAGCGCCCGTGCACGCCGCAGCGCGTGTCTACACCACAACATCCGCGTGCAACGCAACGTTGGTGTACACCACAGTGCCTGCGTGCATTGGACACGTAGAAAGAGCATGTACGTGAGGATCTGCTGCGGACAACTAGACGCCGCGCCAGGAAAATGCTGATAATCGAATACGACGTTCTTCCCTCCTCCCTTCTCCTCCACCTCCACCACCTCCCCCTCCTCCTCCTACTCCTCCTCCTTTTCCTCCTCCTCCCCCTCCCCCTCCTCCTCCTTACCCTCTGTCGTGCGGGTTGGCGCTACAGCGCACGTGCGCATCTGAGCGCGCACCTCAGAATGGTCAATTGAATCGGTCCACTTAGTTTTCGGACGGTCAATTTACCTGGAGCCTCCTGGACGCAGACGGGAGGATTTAGGGTGATGCGGGCGGATCCGGGAGGATTCGTAGATTCCAGCGGCGCTTCGTTGTCCATAAGAATTATGTTATAGCGTTTGCTGTGGAATCCACAAGCGCTCCATTTGGTCATAAAGATTTGTTCGAACGTTCTATATACAGCAGTGGTGCTATGTTGCACACGGTTGCTGGTGCACACAGGCGCAGTGGTGCACACAAGCGCTGCAATGCACGCAGGCATTGTGGTGTACACTGGTGCTGTGTTGCACATTGCTGGTGTGGTGTACGCAGGCGCTGTGGTGTGCACAAGAGCTGTTGTGCCCGCAGGCACGCTGGCACAAAACTGACGCTGTGTTGCACGCGGCTGCTGTGGTGTACATAGGCGGTGCGGTGTACACAGGCGCTGTGGTGCACGCAGGCACTGTGGTGTACACGAGCATTGTGGTGCAAATCGCCACCTACATGCTGGCGCTACCCGTCCTTCGTCATTCCTAGGCATTCCCATACGCCGCCGGCGCGAAACGTGACGTCATCGACCCCCTCCCCCCCCCTAGGTGATTGCCGTCATCGGCCCCGAATAAAAAACAGGCTTCAGCCGCGTCCGCGCGCACGACGACTATGAGCGACGAGCGACAAGCCACGGGCGACGACGACGACGACGACAACGACGACGACGACGAGTGCGGACCAGACTCCTATGCGGATTCCTACGCGGACACCTACGCGAATCCCAATGCGCACGGCGGCAGTGCTTGGAGCACACTGGGGGGGGAGCGTTACGCCATGGGGGGGGGGGGGGGGTGGGGGGGTGGGCCACGACGCCCGCCATGCCCCAAGCAGTACAGAAACGGTCTCGAAGGTACGGCCAACATCTTGGAGCAGGCACCGCTCTGGCTTCAGAGAGGGGCCCGGGGTGCCTCTAGACCCCTCCCGGTGAGTTCCCCCTGCCCCGGTCCCCGCGCGCCCAAAATGCACGAGCATGCACGAGCGGCAAGCACCGGGCGTTGCCGCAAGACTCCCGCGGGCCTGGCCCCTGCTACCCCCTTCTTCCCCGCTCCCCGCGCCCTCCTCCTCTTCCGCCTCCCCCTCCTCAATATCCCCCATTGTTCTCCTCCTCCTCCTCCTCGTCCTCCTCCTCCTCCCCCTCCTCCTCCTCCCCCTCGTCCTCCTCCTCCTGCTCATCAGCATCAGCATCAGCATCACCATCATCATCATCGTCATCATCATCATCATCATCAACAACAACAACAACAACAACAGCAGCCATTATCATCGTCGTCGTCGTGACGATTAGCATCAACCACTGAATACATGAATCAATCAATCAATCAATCAATCAATCAACCAATCGTCGTCGTTAGCATCATCATAACCACCATCGTCACCAACAGCAGCATCATCATCGTCACCCTCAACCACGTCATCATCACCCTCAGCATCATTGTCATCACCACCATCACCATGATCATCACCGTCATCATCACCGTCATCATCACCATCATCATCATCAGCACCATTTTCGTCATCAACACATAATCACCATCATCAACATCATCATCATCATCATCATCAACATCGTCAACATCACTACTGCCGTCATCGACATAGCAATGCCACTCTAGGAACGTCAATTGGATGAGAAACAACAGATGGCTTACCAACCCAGGCACTGCAAGCTATCACCACTGGTTGTCATCACGTAAGGGCGGTGGGACTCTAGGGGACGTCAACCGAGTGAGAGGCTCTTCGTAGCTCAGTACCCGACTCAACTCGAGCTGACATCATCATCATCATCATCATCATCATCATCAGCATCATCATCAGCATCAACGTCCTCATCCTCATCATCACCACCACCATCATCACCACCACCACCGGCATCATCATAATCACCATCATCAACACCACCATTATCATAACAGCCATCATCATCATCATCATCATCATCATAATCAGCATCATCATCTTCATCATCATCATTACCATCAACATATTACCATCAGAAGTATCAGCATCATCAACATCATCAGCATCAGCACACCCATCAGCAGAAGCAAAATCGTCATGATGATCATCATCGCCATCATCATCAACATCAGCATCATTATCATCATCAGCAGCAGCAGCATCATCATCGCCATCATCATCATCATCATCATCATCATCATCATCAGCATCAGCATCAGCATCAGCATCAGCATCATCATCATCATCATCATCATCATCATCATCATCATCATCATCATCATCATCGGCCACGTCGCCATCCGCCCAATACTTTTCTGGCCCGGGGCTGCCCGACCCTAACCTGAAGCTGCCCGGAACGGCCCGAAACTGCCTGGGTGCCGACTTCACATCGCAGCGAGCGGCCAAGCAGATGCTTCCCATGGCCTGCCGAGGAGCGATAGGTTAGCCCTGCCAGACCTCCAGCAGCAGGCCCTTCCACCAGAAGCAGGGGACATCGGCACAAACACGGCGTCCAAACGTCTAGACGCCCAATCACCACACATCATCAGGTCAGCCCTTGTAAATGTTCTTGTTGTCCGCCCCCAGGACCACTAGAAACTAGAACTCAAAAGGTTGACAAGCTCTGATCAAGCCCGCCGCCCCGTGCGCTGGATGGCGCGCGCCTCCAGGCGGCCACAATACCAAGATTCGTAAACGTCGGAACGCCCAAACGTGAGAAAAATCAGCACTCTCGGCGGTGGACAAACCTCCCTTTCGTAAACCTCCACTTCGTGAAAACAGCCCAGGACCGAAACCGACGGACCTGGACCCGCAAAACTGACGGCCGCGGCGCCCCCTCGTGAGCCGAAAACGGCCAATTCACTCATCGACGTGTCAGGGTAGGAGGTCTGTCAAACTCCGACACACACTCACACACAAACTTTCCGAGGCCCGCGCGGAATTTTTCTTGGATCGGCGCCGGGCGCTCCTCCCTGGCGGGCGGAGCGCGCCGCAGAGTGCGCCGGCGCTGGGGGGGGACCTCCAGCGCTGGCCCGCGGAATCCGCGCGGGCCTCCGAAGTGGTGCAGGGCTGGGCCGTCCGATGTTCTTCGACGCGAGCTCCATGAACCCCAGGGTAAGATGCACGGCTTCCCCCGGGGCCGTAGGCGACCCGAGGAAGAGGAGGAGGAGGAGGAGGAGGAGGAGGAGGAGGAGGAGGAGGAAAAGGAGGAGGGGGAGGGGGAGGAGGAGATTGAGGAGGAGGAGGAGGAGGAAAAGGAGGGGGAGGAGGAGGAGGAGAGGAGGAGGAGGAAGGAGGAGGAGGAGGAGAGGGGGGAGGAGGAGAGGAGGAGGAGGAGGAGGAAGGGAAGGAGGAGGAGGAGGAGGAGGAGGGCGGGGGAGGAGAGGAGGTGGAGGAGGAGGGGGAGGGAGGGGAGGAGGAGGAGTGGAGGAGGGGGAGAGGGAGGAGGACAATGAGGAGGAGGAGGAGGAGGAGGAGGAGGAGGAGGGCGAGGAGCAGCAGGGGGAAGTGGTTTTTTTTCGGGGTCGCGGGGGGGGGGGGCAGACACAAGCGAGCCAGACGCCACTGCCGCGTGCGTTCGGCGTTCGGGGGGCGTTGTTAGGCCCGCACCAAAGGTCACTCTGGCGAAAGGTCACTCTGACGTCTAGTGGACAGATGAAGGAGGACGGCGATGAAGACGACCCCCGACGGTGCAAGAGAATCACGCGGTCGTCAAGAACCGCGACAGGACGCTTCGGCCACATACGACAGGCTCGAGTCGTGATGACCCCTGCGCTGGTGCCTGACACCGCGTGGACGGCTCAACCTTGCACGATTGGCGGGTTCTCGATGGCCAGCTCTTTCCACCTCAGCCGCTTCTGGGCCACTGGCGGTGTTCGACCTTGAACCCCCGCGGCGGGGTCGCCGCCGCGTCGACACGGCACGAACCTGCCGCACCTGCACGCGACTCCTCGAGCCGGATGGAGACAGGAGGGGCCCCAGGGCCCGGGGCCTGGAGATCCCGAGCAGCAACTGCCCGCGGACAGTTTCCCCGCCGGCGCTGCCACCCCCTCTCTGCCACACTTCAGCGAGGCCTCTGGCGCCGCCCACGGCGCGCTCCGAGCGCCAGCGAGAGGTGTGGGATGAGAGGGTGAGGACAATGAGGGCGAGGGCTCTTGAACCCTGGAGTCTTCTCGGGATTCTCTTGAGGTGCTCGTTGGGTCTTCTTCGGGCCTTTTGTTTTCCAGGAGCGTGCAGACAGCCACGGCAAAAGTTCGCGGTGGGAAAACAACCAGGGTATGAGATGTTCCAGCAGTCCTTCGCCTGCTAAGGACTTCTCGGGTTCAAACCCGAGCAGATGACCCTGCGAGCAGTCTGAAAGAGCGGAGTCGCAGCACCGACTCCTGGCGAGCCCAGGGCCAAGAGCGGCCTTACGCCATGAACACCGGCAGACGGTGACGCCGATGGGCCGCCACACACCGCATGAACAATGCCTGTTCCTCCTCCTCCTCCTCCTCCTCCCTCCTCCTCCTCCTCCTCTTCCACCTCCCCTCCTCCTCCTCCGCCTCCTCTCCTTCAAAAGCAGCCCCCAGAAGCCGCAAACGGCTCCACCTTGATTTTTGTCCGGGCGTTGGAGGCATGCCGTGCTGATTGACCCAAGGCGCCTGGGATGTCAGGGAGAGCCCTGGCAGCGCAGAGGAGGATAAAGGCGACCACGACGATGACGGCGACGACGATGCCGGCGCGGACGGGGAGAAGCACGACGACGACGACGACGACGACGACGACGACAGGGGTCCTCCCAACGGCCAGGGGCGAAGATGCCCAGGCACATGCACCCGCAGGCCAGCTCCGTGTCCGCGCCGCGGCCGAGGAGGCGACGCCTCGCACAGGGGTGTCGGCAGAAGCGGGATCAGACAGAACCGGCACCGCCACCATCGGTGGCGGGCGAAAGGAAGGAACAGCAGGGGGAGGGGAGGGGGACGGGGAGGAGGGGGAGGAGGAGGAGGAGGAGGAGGAGGAGGAGGAGAGGAGGAGGAGGGGAGGAGGAGGGAGGAGGGGAGGGGAGGAGGAGGAGGAGTGAAGGAGGGGGAGGAGGAGGAGGAGGAGGAGGGAGGAGGAGGAGGAGGAGGAACGAGGAGGAGGGGGAGAGGAGGAGGGAGGAGGAGGAGGAGGAGGAGGAGGAGGGCGGAGGGGAGGAGGAGAGAGGAGGAGGAGGAGGAGGAGGAGGAGGAGGAGGAGGTGAAGGTGGAGGTGGACGGTCGGCGAATCGGCTCGCGCAGCTGGCTTCTGCTGGGGCCTCCCGGCGCCAGGAGGCACAGGCCACAGGCGTGCCGAGGCGAGCTGCCAGCGGCGGGGCCGAGGCCAGCTGCGTGTAGCAGAGCGGCCCCGCGTCCCAGGGGGCTCCCAGGCCAGGGGGCTCCCAGGCCAGAGCAGCAGAAGGCCAGTGGGCTCCCAGGCCCTCTCCTCCTCCTCCTCCTCCTCCTCCTCCCTCCTCCCCTCCTCCTCCTTCCTCCTCCTCCTCCTCCTCCTCCTCCTCCTCCTCCTCCTCCTCCTCCTCTCCTCCTCCTCTCTCCTCCTTCCTCCCCTCCCTCCTTCCTTCCTCCTCCTCCTCATCCTCCTCTTCCTCCTCCTCCTCCTCCTCCTCCTCCTCCTCCTCCTCCTCCCCCTCTCCCAGTCCACCCTTTCGTCGGACCCGCGTGGTCCCCCTCTGTTTTGCAGCGTCCCGCTCGAAAGACCTGAGAGGACAAGAGCGGGAAGCGCCGCTCTGTCCACGAAGATTGTCATGGAACGACCCATTGAGAACCCCAAAGGACTCGAAGACGGGCGTCATGATTGTCGTCGTTGTGGACGCCCTTCGTCGTTCGTCGTCGTCGTTCGTCATCGTCGTCGTCGTCGTCGTGGTCGCCCTTCGTCGTTCGTCGTCGTCGTCGTCGTCGTCGTCGTCGTCGTTCGTCGTCGTCGTCGTCGTCGTCGTCGTCGTCGTCGTCGTCGTTCGTCGTTCGTCGTCGTCGTCGTTCGTCGTCGTCGTCGTCGTCGTCGTCGTCGTCGTCGTCGTCGTCGTCGTCGTCGTCGTCGTCGTCGTCGTCGTCGTCGTCGTCGTCGTCGTCGTCTTCGTTGTCGTCGTCGTCGTCGTCGTCCTCGACGTCGTCGTCGTCGTTGAGTGGGAGAATGCTCCGAATCACGGGGAGCATGCAAGGGCCCGTCGGGCCGTGCACGGGGGACCCCCCCCGCGGAGAGCAGCCTAGCCGCGCGCGTCGCATGGAGGACCCCCCCCCATGAAGAAGTCGCTGCACGTTGAGTGGGGATGCTCCGAAGCGCAGGGGGGGGGCATCGAAGCCCGTCGGGGCCCTGCATGGGGAGCCCCTCCGCGGAGCAGCCCTGGCCGCGTCGCACACAGGAAAGGCTCCCGCGTGAAGAGAAGCCAGCCTGGGCCTTAGGGGCGCCTCTTGGAGTTGCAGCGGCGGCCCTCGTGGCCTGGTCGGGCGCATCCCGAGGGTCCCCCCCCTCCTCCTCCTCCTCTCCTTCCTCCTCCTCCTCCTCCTCCTCCCTCCTCCTCCTCCCTCCTCTCCTCCTCCTCCTCCTCCTCCTCCTCCTCCTCCTCCTCCTCCTCCTCCTCCTCCTCCTCCTCCTCCTCATCCTCCACCTCCAACTCATGGTGGTGGTGGTGGAGAACAAACCCATCAGCATCTGGAGGGTCTGGGGGGGGCCCTCGCGAGCCATCCTTGACGCCCTCTCCGGCCGCTGTGGGGATCTCCCGGGCCACAAAGCGCTTCTCGGGGGGCCCTTTGGGGGTCTCTCGGGGTGCCTTTGGGCGGGCTCCTAAGGAGCCGTTTGGATTCGTTTGGGCCGGTTTGCAGCCCTCTGGGCTCTGGGAGCGAGTCCAAGACGATGTCGGTTTGGAGACCCCTCCGAAGCCGATTCTTGAGGATGTCGCGAGCGAAACGGCCATGTGTCAGAAACCTATCCAGGCAAGAACGGGAAGCGCCGCTCCTCTGAGCTTGCATGCGCGCCCGCACGGGCTTGCACACAACGCGGCATGGGTACACATGCGGTACCGTCGCTGAGCTCCCTAGAATACCCAAATGTTTGAAAGGCTGTTGGAGGATTCACCGAACAACAACCAGTCAAAAACCTTCCTCTGGAAGGTATCAGGAGGGCTTCCTCGTTAAATCCTTCCCACAACGTTCCTCAGGGAGGTTGCAGGAAAGTTCCCACCAACCGACCTTCCAAAAACCTTCCCCGGGAAAGTGTCAGGAGAGCTTCAACACGAACACTTCTAAACACCGTCACGAAGGTTGTTGGGAGGTTTTTCGGAGATCAGGAGGGTTGCCTTCAACAAACTTGTTCAAAAGCCTACCTCAGGAAGGTTGCAGGGTGGTTTCCTTTGAAAAACCTCCCAACATACGTTCTCAGGACGGTTTGTGGACGGTTGTTGGAGGACTTCTCCAAACAACCTTGCAAAAACCTTCCTCAGGAAGGTTTGAGGAGGGCTTCCACCTAAAAGCCTTCAAAACCTTCCACAGTAAGGTTTTTGGAAGGCCTCTCACACATTCCTTACAACAACCCTCCAAAAACCTTCGCCAGGAAGATTTCATGAGGGCTTCCTCCTGAACACCCTTCACAAACCTTCCTCGGGAAGGTTGTTGGGAGGTTGCTCTGAGGACTCCCCTAAAACAACCTTTCAAAACCATGATGCGGCAAGGTTTCAAGACTTTCTGAACCCTTCCAAGAACATTCCCCAGGAAGGTTTTTGGCAGGTATTCGAAGGATTCCTTCAAGAACCTTCCGAACAAACCTTCCTCAGGAAGGTTTCAGGAGAGCTCCCTCCTAAAAACCTTCCAAACTCATTCCCCCGAAATCTTGTTGGACGGTTGCTGGAGGATTACTCCAGCAAGCTGTTTTACAACTATCCCAGGAAGGTTTCAGGGGGGGGGTCCTTCCAACAACCTTCCAGAAACCATCCCCAGGAAGGTTTCAGGAGGGCGTCCTCCTAAAGACCTTCCACAAAGTGTCGTCTGGAAGGTTTTCGAAGGGTTGTTGGAATATGCCACCACAGAAACCGTCCTAAAACCTTCCTCGGGAAGGCTTCAAAACAGCTTCCTCCTAAAAACCTTCCAAACAGCCATCCTCGAGAAGGTGCTAGAAAGGTCTGTGGAGGACTCCTCCGAACAAAACACCCAACAGCATCCCAGAGGAAGGTTTCAAGATAGCTTCCTCCGAAAACCTTTCAAAAACTTGCCTCCAGAAAGTTTTTGGCACGGCTTCTGGAAGATTGCTGCACAAAACCTTCCAACAGCATTCCTCAGGAAGATTTCAGGTGGGTGTCCCTTTCAACACCTTCCAAAACCATCCTCAGGAAGGTAACAACCGAGTTTCCTCCTGGAAACCTTCCCAACATAGTCCTCAGGAAGGCTTCCTGCTAAAAACCTGGCAGAGACCTTTCGCAGGAAGGTTGTTGGAAGATTGCCGGAGGGTTCCTTCAAAAGAAAAAAACATCCCAAACCTTCCCGAGGGAGATTCCTGGATGATTCCTCCCAAAAGCCTTTCGAAAATCTTCCTTAGGAAGGTTTCAGAAAGTTTTCCTCATCCACACCTTCCAACAACCTTCCTCAGGGAGGTTTTTGGAAGGTTGATGGAGGATTCCTCCAAACAGTCTTCCCAACAAACATTCCTCAGGAGGTTGTAGGAAGGTTTCCTCGAAAAAAACAACCTCCAAAGTGTTTGGACGATTCCTCTAACAAAACTTCCCCAGAACCCTCCTCATGAAAGCTTCAGGAGGGCTTCCTCCTAAAGACCTTCCAAAAACTGTCCTCCGAAGGTTTTTTGGATGGCTGTCGGAGGATTCCTCTAAAAACCTTCCAAAAAAAAGACCTCCTCAGGAAAGTTTCAAGAAGGCTTCCTCGTAATAACCTTCCACACACATTCCTCAGGAAGGTTTCAGGAGGGCTATCCTCAGAAAAAACGTCCAACGACCTTCCTCAGGCAGGTTTCAGGATGGCTTTCTCATAAAAAAACCTTCCAACCTCCTCCTCTTCCTCCTCCTCTTCCTCCTCCTCTTTATCATCATCATCAGCATCAGCATCAGCAGCATCAGCGTCATCATCAGCATCATCATCAGCATCATCATCAGCAGCATCATCATCACCAGCAGCATCATCAGCATCAGCATCAGCATCAGCATCAGCATCAGCATCAGCATCAGCATCAGCATCAGCATCATCATCATCATCAGCATCATCATCATCATCATCATCATCATCATCACCATCAGCATCAGCATCATCATCATCATCAGCATCAGCATCAGCATCATCATCATCATCATCATCATCATCAGCAGCAGCAGCAGCAGCAGCAGCAGCAGCATCAGCATCATCATGGGAGGGGAGCTTGACCACTACGAACGAGTCATCCTGGCGAGAGCGGGCGATGGGCGCGAACGCGGGGTGCGGGGCTCCGGCGCGCGAGCGGAGCCGCCGAGCCGAGAGGGGAGCGCCTGCCGCGGGCGCCGCCTCCCCTGCGGGACACCCAGCCTCCTCCCCCTCCTCCTCCTCCGCCTCCTCCTCCTCCTCCTCCTCCTCCTCCTCCTCCTCCTCCTCCTCCTCCTCCTCCTCCTCCTCCTCCTCCTCCTCCGCCTCCCATGCCCCCTCAACGACAGGGGGGCTGGCTCTGGGGGGAGCATCGACCCAGAAGCGGCGGTGGGCCCGCGACGGCGAGGCCGCACGGTGCTGGGCGGCGTGAGCGCTCGGGCCCCGATCGGCGGTGCCTGGGCGATTGGGGATCGATGCGCCTCCCCCACTGAGCCGAATCACCCCCTCGAACGTGGCTCCTGACCGTCCCCCCCCCGAGGCGGGCAGGAGTGAGAGCGGGGGCACCCCTGGCACGCAAGGCGAGCAGGCCCGAGGCCGCCTCGCAGAACCGCCCACGGCTGCGGCCGAGGCCAAAGCCGAGCCGCGCAAGAAAGAGGAGGACAGAGACTGCATGCACCAGCGGGCCAAGGGAAGGGGGAGGCTGGCTGGCAGGCTGCTCTGCGTATGACCAAGTCTTTATTGTCAACAAGTCTTAATCGTCAAGAGTTCTCTCACTCCGCATGTGAGCATTGTGTTCCGATCGGTGTCAAAACATTTGAGGAGATCCTCAGGAGAGCGCAGCGACGGACCTCATCGGCCCACCCCGCTGGCGAAGAGAAGGAGAAGAGCGCAGCGGCAAGAACCGCGCCACGAGCCCGACTCCGCGTCGCGTACCCGACACGAGGCGCTCGGAGGAGGGAGCGTCGGCGTCGGTGCTTTCTGCCTGCTCCGCGTCGGAGCAAGGGGACGAGGACGACGACCGCGGCGGCGATGGGGAAATACAGACGACGGGGCTGAGACTCATCATCCTCATTTTCCTGCTCCCCTCATGCCCCCTCCTCTCTATACACATCATCCTCCTCCTCCCTCCCCCTCATCATCCTCCTTCATTTCTTTCTCCATCGAGATAACTTCTCCCTGTCGGCCAGGCATTTCGCCTGATACGTTTTCACCATGTATGACTCTGCTGCTCACCGCTTCACGGATGGCGGGCAGGTTGTTTTCAAAATATGGCCATCGCGTTAGCGGCGTGCACATTCGTTTGCAGAAATGCAAGAGTTTCACGGATTGAGGGCGGGTGGTTTTCAAAATGTGGCTCTCGCCTCAACGCTGCGCACAATCGTTTGCAAACAATTGCAAGAGCTTCACGGGTTGAGGGTGGGTGGTTTTCAACATAAGGCTCTCGCTCTCGTGCCGCACACATCCGTTTGTAAAACCTTGCAAGAGTTTCACGGATTGGAGGCGGCTTGATTTCAAAATGATGTTCTCGCCTTAGCGCCGTGCGCATTCGTTCTGACACCTTGCAAGAATGTCACGGATTTAAAGCGGGTTGGTTTCAGCATGTGGCTCTAGCCGTAGCACCGCGCACTGTCGATCTGATAAATTGCCAGAGCTTCACGGATTGAGGGCAGTAACTGTTCAAACTGTGGCTCTCGCCTGAGCGCCGCGCACATGCGCTTTTAATTTTGTAGCGGTGTTACCGGTTCTCATGGCTGACGTGCCAGGAATGGGGTTGTGGAACAATTCAGGGCTGTCAGGGCGCAACAGTTACGTTCATTCACAGGCGTCCTGGAGCGATCCAGGGCCGCCCAAGGCGACACAGTCATGTTGAATGACGGCGTTGAAGTCCTGGGAATGCTGCTTTGGCACGTTTTGAAAAGTGTTCACACGGTTGCCCCTCCATGGCGCAATTCCCTCAATGGAGATGACCCCTCGTAGGGGCCTATGAAGAGGGATCGTGGAGGGAGGGTGTATTTCAACATCGTGGAGGATTCTTGGGTTCACACTGGTCCTCCTCCTCCTCCTCATCCTCTTCGTCCTCTTCATCGTCACCGTCCCGCCTCCTCTTCATTCCACTCTTCCTCCCCCCCCTCGTCATCAGACACATCTTCATACTCATCACCGACATTATCAAGGTCATCAAGGTCGTCAGCATCACCACCACCACCATCATCAGCAGCAACCTTATCAGCATCATAAGCTTTATCAGCATGAGTATCAGCATCAGCATCAGCAACACCATCGACGTCATCACCATCATAATCCTCATCCCCACCACCAGCACCAGCAGCATCACCATAAACATGATCATCCGCGTCGTCAGCAGCATCATCAGCATCAGGAGCATCATCAGTATCCTCATCATCATCCGCATCGTCATCAACAGCAGCATCCTCATGACCACCGCCAGCAGCATCATCGTCATCATCGTCGGCAGCATCATCAATAGCATCATCATCAGCAGCGTCACCATCACCGACAACAACCTCAGCATCCATCCCGCTACCAATAGCAATATCGCCACCATCACCACCATCCTTCACCATACTCCTTCGTCTCCTCCTCCCAATCCTCCCCCCTCACTCGTAATCAGTCGGTGGTCTCCCCCCCTCTCCTCTTCCTCCTACCGTCCCTCCTTCCCTCCCTCCCTCCCTCGTCTCTCGTCCCTTAACCTGTTTCGCGTCCGCCGCTTCCTCCTACCCCTCCAACTTCTCCTCCTCCTCCTCCTCCTCCTCCTCCTCCTCCCTCCTCATCCTGTTCCTCCTCCTCTTCCTCATTCATGGCTTTTCCTTTTGAATAACTCCTCCCTTTCGCACCCCGAGGCTGGTCGCAGAGCTTCACGGGTTGAGGGCGGGTGGTGTTCAAAATGTGGCGCTCGCCTTAGCGCCGCGCACATTCGTTTAACACATATGCCAAACCATCGCGGATTGAGGACGGGTCGTTTTCAAAATGCTGCTCTCGCATTAGCGCCGCGCACATGTGTTTAAACATTTGCCAGAACCTCACGGGTTGAGGGCGGGTCGTTTTCAACATGTGGCTCTCGCCTTAAAGCCGCGCACATTCGTTTTAAACAGTTGCAAGGAATTTCACGTATTGAGGGCGGGTCGTTTTCAGCATGTGGCTATCGCATCTGCGCCACGCACATTGTTGCCCACAGTTGCAAGGGGTTCACTGCTTGCTGGCGTTCCTTTTCAAACTATGGCTCTCGCCTCAGCGCCGCGCACACTCGCGATTAACAATTACACAAGTTCACGGGTTCCAGTTGTCAATGAACCAGAAATAACACGGTGGAATGACTCAGGGCTGTGAGAGCACAACAGTTACATACTTTGATTCGCGGTGTTGTAATCCCAGGAATGGTGTTCTTGCGCTATTCTGGATCGCCAAGACGCAACAGTCAGGTTGATGTTGTGGCGTTGGAATTCCAAATTTTCTGCCTTGGCACGCATCAGGGTCTCGAAACGACTGTCCCGCAAGGAGGCAGTTCCCTCAGTGGAAATGATCCCTTGTAAGGGCATGTGTAGAGGGAGCTTGGAGGGAGGCTTAATGTCAACATCGTTGACGAGTATTGGGTTTACACTGGCCCTCCTCTTCCGCCTCCTCCTCCTTTTCCTTTTCCTCCTCCTCCTCCTCCTCCTCCTCCTCCTCCTCCTCCTCCTCCTCCTCCTCTCGGCTCCTCCTTCAGAAGGACGAGGAAGAGCAGCAGCAGGAGGAGCAGGAGAAGAGAGGAGAAAACGGAGGGCGAAGAGGACAGGACGTGGGGGATGAGGTGCTGCTGCCGCCCCAGACCCTGATCCGAAGAGGTCCCCAGAAAACCCTGGAGTCCTCCAGAGCCCCCGTGAAAGCAGTAAATACATGTGCATACGTTTTGTACATGCGTCTGTAAAACGTCGGACAGCGTGAGGTACAAAGGGAGAGCAGCGCGATCCTCAAAGGGCGAGGGCGAAACTTAGCATGAGGAGGGGAGCCAAAGGATGAGAAGCGAAGTGAAGAGGAGGCGGCCGCCCGGTCGGCCACTCCCCCCCCCCTCGGTTCGCCGCCCCCCCCCCCTGCTCCCAGCTCCGCCGCCCGCCTCCCCCCCTCCCCCCTCGCCCCCTCCCACCCCCCTCGCACCCCACAGGCAGCACACCGCCGGGAAGCCGTGGAGAGATGGACGATATACCTTCTGCATTTTGGCCACCCCCATGCGAAGAGGCACAGACTCGAGCGGAGAAACGAGGTTCGCTGTGCTGAAGAAATGAAGACGCGCACGTGTCCGCCACCCGGCCCTGGGTACGCTGCGGCGTGCTGAGAGATCCAGAGTGCAGGCTGTCTTGCGGGAGGTCTGCGCGCTGTCTTCTGCTCGGGGCCATACCCCTGCCCGCGCGCGCGTGTGCACAGCCAGCCCGTATCATAAGGATGCGCGGCAAGGATGCAGGGACCTTGGAGGCACGTTTGAACGAACGTTTCTCGAAGGAAGCAGGCCAGCGCAAGTCGCTGAGTATGGGCCGAAGGGGCAAGGATGCGAACAGTACACGCCAGTGCAGATACATGTTCTCTACATATTTGTATCTTCGCTCGGGCGCCGAGCGCGCGAGCGCACTTGCACATAAGCCGAGGACTGCAGTGAAGAAACAGGTCTTCTCCTTTGGGAAGGTTGCCCATCCTTCCAAATTGTGCGGGCTGACTGGGCCCCCCCGCCCTAACCCAGCGCACCACGCGACCCCGAGACGGCTCCAAGGCGCCCCAGAGCGAGACGACACGATGCCCCCAAGGCAGGCTCCAGACGGCACACGCACGCCCCGGAGACTACAAGAGATCCCCCCATCGACCCCCATGGGCGCCCAAAGAGCCACCGAAGCCCTGGCGCCCCACGAAGCCACAATTGGCGCCCAAAGAGCTCACCCGCAAGGCCCTCAGAGGCTAAAAGCGTGGAAACGCCAGAGATGTCTCTATGGGTCCGATAGGCTTCGGCTTAAGATTGCCTCGGGAAGACTCCAGAGAGCCTCAAGACGGCCTAGTAGGAATCCCGGGAGCAAACAAGAAGGCCCCCGAATGGCACGAGGACGCCCCAAGACGGCCCGAAGACGGTTCTATCGAGCCACTTCGAGGGAGAGCTGGCAGCAACATCCCGAGGGCGATTCAATGCTGCGCTGGCATGATGACGGGGTTTGCCGCAGGCAGCCGTATCGCATGAAGGTGTCGCACGCTCGCCTGTACTGTGTCGGGGCGGGCGTGCAAGACAAAGGCGTTCTCGAGCCGGTTAAGCCTTACCCGTGAGCTGCAATCCAGACCGCACCAGAAGCGACCAGTGGGCGCGCTTGCGCTGTATGCAATTGACGAGCAGGACTGTCATGCTGCGCTGGATGGCAAGGGCACCAATGAGCTTAAAATTCACAGGAAAGCGCTCGCCGTCTGTACACGCGCAAACACGCCGCTCAAGCAGCGGCCAATGTTATCCTTTAAATTCTGTTCGGGGAAGTGTTTAATTTCACCAGCGTTGCCGACACGATTCGTTCAAGTAGCGGCGAATGTCAGCTTCTTGACCTTGCTCGGGGAGGGATACTTGAGGTCGCTTGCGAGACCAACATAACTCAGGAGTTTGATGATATACCACGTGATGTCGAACTGCCACCACTTTAGCCCATGGCGGCACGAATTCTCGAAGGCGTGGTGGTTATTGTGCCAGCCCTCGCCAAAGGCGAAGATTGCGACCAACCAGTTGTTCATCGAATTGTCCGGCGTGTTCCAATCCTTGAAGCCCCAGACGTGGCTGACGGAATTCACCGCCCAGGTCACGTGCCACACCCAGGCTACCCGCGCGAAGAAGCCCCATAACACGAACGGCAGACCGCCAAGGGCATACAGACCGGCAATCGGCAGCACGATCGCGTGCAAAACGTAGTACCTCTGCAAGTGGCGATAGAACCATTGTTTGGAAAGGTCCAAACAGTTCGACTTGTTGGCACGCATCCACGTGCCTTCTACGTCCAACAGCCACCCCATGTGGGACCACCAGAAGCCGTCCAGCGGCGAGTGAACGTCGTTCTCCTGCTCCGTGGACCCGTGGTGGTGCCGGTGCGAGGACACCCAATTGATCGGGTGGCTTTGGAGCGCCAGTGCGCCGCAGTAGGCGAAAGCGTACTCCAGCAGCTTGGGCGTGGTGAAGGAACGGTGGGCCAGCTGCCGGTGGTAGGACAAGGTGATGCCCAACGCGGTCACCATATACCCAGCCAGGAAGACGAGGAACGCGTCCCTGGTGAGGTGGAACGGAGCCGCGACGGCACCGAGGTGCACCGCACCGATGAAGATCGCGTAGCCGACATCCTTCTTCTTCCACGGTCTCGCGAAGTAGGTGCGGGGGTTGTAGGTGTAGTCCCAGAAGTGGCGGAAGCGAAGGCTGAAGAGCCGTTGGGCGATCTGGCCCCCTCGAACCCTCTTCGACCCCTTGGCCGGCATGAAAAAAGGGGGGTCCCGGAGGAAGCGGGTCTCGGACCCCTGGGCTATCCCCAGGACGGGCGTGTTATCCCGCGTCGTTTCTGCTGACGGCCACAGCCTGGGGACGAAGGGCCCAAGGAGGCCGAGAACGGCGAAAACCTCAGGACCCCCCTTCGTCACTCCCAGGCATCCGACGACGTGCTTTCTACAATCCGCGGGCCCCAGAAGTCTCGACCCCATGCCCCCGGGGCTTATCGGCGGCGCGCAGAAAGAGGCTGGGGGAGGGGGGGGGCGTCTTAGAAGGAGGCTGCTTCTTAGAGGGCGCCGGCCGTACACGTACAGAGAGAGAGCCCGCGCCTTCCAAGCAGCAGGGGTGCTTCTCAGAAGCCCCCCCCCCCTACCCCCCTTCTGCGCGTGGCCGAGCTTCTCTGTGCCCAGGGCCCAGTTCTGATGGGCACCAGAACCCGACAACAATCACCCCCAGAGCCGAAAGGGGGGAAACCTATGGCGCGTTCCGACGTAAAAGTTCGAGGCGAATCCAGTCGTCGAGGCGAGGGCCTCCAAAGAGGCCCGAAAGGGCGAAACGGAGGCGAGGGCGGCAGCAACTGTACAGTCGGGGCGTTGTTCTAAGGAACCCTAAATAAGGAACGAGGCCCCTTTTTTTCCATAAGTTAAACTTCGATTTCCGTTCGAAAACATAAGGAAAACCTGAGGCAAGCTGCGAAACACTTAAGGAACGCGGAGCCCCTCCCCAACGAAAAGGGTTCCTTCTTCAGGGCCCCGACTGTATCCTTCCATCGGAAAGAAAAGACAAATCGCCGATTTCGAAAAAAACAGCTCCTTGGAAGCCTGGGCTTCCTTCACGGCGTTGGACGCCCGAAATGGGTACGGACAAACATGGGCAGAATGCCCAACAGCAAATGTCGTCCAACAGCCAGCGGTCGCTGCTAGGCAGGCAACTGTGTGCCTCACCTGGACACGTTTCGCGGTGGCACCGACAGTGCGCCCTGTTCAAAGCGAAAAAGAACCTACTGTCGATCTTTGCCCCCAGAGGGCTCGAACCCTTTCCACCAGGCCAGCTTTTCGCCCCCGATTCATTGTTGCTGGCCCCAGGTCCCGAAAACGGCCCCAGAAGGCCGACATCACGTCGCCGGTTGAAACCGCAAATTATCAAAAATAAGCCCTCCCTCGTCCTGGTCGAACCTGTTGAAAACCACAGCGTCCCCCTCCCTGGGAAGATTGCCGGTTAAAAACATGTCGTCGGAGATCTGGCTTCACTGAGAATCGTTCAACCGATCCCTATCTCCACTAACATGGCCTGGGCCCCCACTGGCCATTTACACCCCTAGATGGGGATATAGGTTGTTCCTTTCAGGGATGGTGGGATGATGGGGTCGGGATGGAGACGGGGATGGGGATTGGCATAGTGGGGAAATCAGAAGGTACCGCTAACGCTGCTTTCCAGACCTCTCCTGGGGTGCGTTCTGACCCGAAATTCGAGGCGAACCCAACGGTGGCGACGAGGGCCCCCCCGGAAAGCGAAAAAGGGGATCGCGGGCGAGGGGTGGCGGTGCGGGCACCTTGTCCTCGTCCGATATCATATAGGCATCGGTTCAAACGATGCTGCTTCCCGGCGGCCTTGGGCCGCTGGTCACGCGGCAGGCGGGACGGCGGCACGGCCTCAGGTGGCTCAAAAATGGGGTCCTGAGGGATGTGGTCCCGAGTTCGGGCGCTGGCAGAACTGAGTTTCGTGGGACCTGGTTTACTGATGTGTACTGGGGGACGCCCCCCCCCGCCCGTTCCACTAGCCAGAAATGCCGTCGCCCGAAAAAACACCAGCTACGGCAGACCTGGTTTAGTGTTTCTGCAAGCTTCGGGGCTCCCAAGCCCTACTACAAACCTGGTCCCCTACTAACCAGGCCCCCTTCCCGACCAGC